ATAGTTAGTCGGTTCAAGCGGGGGAGGTTAAACTTTGGGATAGTTATGGGTCGGTCCTAAGACTGAACCTACTTGGTCTTTTTTTTTTTTTTTTTTTTTTTAAACAGGCCCTTGTACAAGGCCTCTATCCTGGTGGTGGTAAGAGAACCACCGGGATTGAGGCTTTGCCTGGTGGGCCGCTCCGTCTATTGGTGGGGAGCATCACCTGCTGGGAACCGGGCCCAGCGTCCCATGAATACATCAGATCATAACAGTACAGTCTTGAGGGTGACGCCATTTGGCTGGAAACCGGGTCCAGCGTCCCATATCTGGCCCTTCCTACTTAGCCTGCAGCATCGTTGGGTACTGGCGGGAGGCCCACCGGGGGGCACCGGTGGAGCCTCCCTCCCTCCCCTAGCTCCTGCACCCCTCCTACTATCCTCATGGCGTCCAGCGTCCCATTTACAGAATTTTACAGAAACTCCGTGGTTCTTTTTTTTTTTTTTTTTTTTTGCAAAAAGAGCCCTTGTGTAAGCTCTCTATCGCGACGTGGTAAGAGAACCGTCAGAATGGAGGGCTTATCTTCTTTTGCCTTGGGGGAGGAGTCTAGGCCGGTGGGAGCGCAGTCGAGTCTGAAGCAGGCCCTTCTTTTGCCCTGGGAGAGGAGTCTAGGCCCGTGGTCTTCTTTTTTGTTTGTTTTGTCCGCAAGATTGGTTTGGCTAAGAACTCAGATCTCAGTTCCGGGCAGAATTGTGAGGACCCCGGCCCCCCCTTATGTTTCTTGCAATGGACGTATGAGCTGCTTACAAAAAAAGAAAAAATACCGGCGGACTGCGGCATGTTTTGAACCCTAAAGGCAAAAAAAGTCGCACCAACAAAGTGCGCCAACTCGAAATGAGCAATTTCGGTCCAAAAGTATCCGTTAGGCATTTCCTTTTCTTTTTTGTGTTCCCCTGTGACACCACGGCCGACCACTGTAAATGTGACACCCGGTCTGACACCACGGCCGTCGGTACTTCCGTTGCCTTTTCGAACTCGGCGTGCTATTCTTTGCCGACACGTGTTTTTTTTATGCCCATTCAATACTCAAAGGTGACATGAACGTACTTACATCCCCCCCCCCCCCCCCCCCCCGCCCCACCCCACAAAAAAAAGTTAAGTAACCAGCTGCATTATCTGTAACAGTGTGCAGATGCCAAGCACATTTGGGGATGGGCAAAATTCAAGCTGCTGTCATTTGTTGTTTCACAAGGGACAGGAAAGTTTTCTTCTTTCGCACATGTATCCCTTGTCCCTCAAAGGAATCAGCACTGCTTTCGTGGCACATTGCTTCATCCACACATGTATCCATTCATCCATTCACCCATCCATCCATCCATCCATCCATCCCTCCGTCCCTCCATCCATCCATACATCCAACGGTGTATACTTGTCGGATCTTCTTTAGGCCATACTCACTCTCTTTACAGCTTTCGGGGAGCTACTTCCTTCCCCCATCAAGCATTTGAGCCGTACCTGGTGCAAGTATGAGGTCAGGTATGGCAAAGATGAACCCATCTTGCATCACCAGGGGTATGGTAGCATGACTATGCAGTCCGTGACTCCGTGACGATAAAACCTTCACTACTGCACACTACGAAAAAGAGGCAGCCTCCTGCCATGCCTTAGACTGTACTACACAGGTAACTAGCAGTTGGAATCCTGCTGGAATCAGATGAAACAGGAATGTAAAGAGCTCTAAGACTTGTCGTAAGCCACCAGTACTTGGCCATGCTATCGATGCCGGCCCTCGGAGCACCTTACGCGCCTATTTTTGACGAACCGCCAGCGCGACCTTTTGTTTTCGTTTTGGCTGGCGCCTCCAGCTGTTGTGGTCCGGTAGTCCGAAGCCCAAATGCCGCGGCGCGTTTACGGGAAAGTGTCTCGGCCGATGGATGGGCCAAGTACTGGTTTAAACCATCAGTGCTAGTCCAGCCTTTGAAAAAACGCCCGCCTGTTAATATGGGGCTGTGGAAAGGCATGGAGAGAGTGTCGTCCTTGTTTCTGTTTCCCTATATAGCCAAAGATCAGAGGTGGACCCCTACACAAGGGCGCTCACTAAAGAACAGTGTTGTGGGACCCACCCAGCAGGATCACAGCTACCGTCTTCACCCTTCTCCATTGTCTTGTGCCTTCAAACCTCCCCTCTGATGAGCTGTTATGTGGCTAGCAGATAAACATGCTTAAGGGACCGCCACACTCCTCCTGATTGATCGCTGTGTTGATCATGCAGACTGGGAGCATTGCGACTTTCCCCTTCACCCTCTCCCTTCCCATCACCCCCCTCCTCCCTCTTCTCCAACACTCCTCCCCCCTCTCTTTCTCCTTTCTATCTATATCAAGCAACGCTTCTCATGGAAAACCTCATTTTTTAAAGCTCTGCAGTGTCTGCACTTCTTCAGGAGCTAAGACTCTTCTCCTCCGAATGTTCTCTCCTCTGTGAGTTGCTATGATAGTGCTTGGATTGTTTTTTGCATTTATAAACAAAAAGTAATCCCCGTAATATCACTTTTAAGAGAAAATTGGGATGAACGCATGGCGTTGCTCGAGCTGTATACAGAAAAAAAAATACAAGAATGGAAGTTTGCCTTTCTAGCAAAAATTCTCCTCATCAGATTGAATGCTGACGTACTCTGAATTCTCGCAATTAAACCACCAGTACGTTTCACAGGCAAATTGTTCTGACACCGCCATGCATGCACCCCGACTTTCGGGGCCCGGTCTGCCACGTCGCAAAGGCTGTGTGGATGCCAGCCAAAAGAATAGAATTATGTGCCCGTGCTGGTTCAACAAAAGTCAGTGCTAGGTGTTCGCCTCCATTCAGACTGAGCAGTTGAGGTAGAAGGTCTGTAGCATGTAGCTCCCTTGGGTACTGCATGCTGATAATGATGTAGTAATGCTGTGAGAGTAGAACCTCGACTACGTTATTTTTGAGTTATCGCTCTAGGTGCTCGCAACATAAGTCGAAGTGTTCGAATGCGAAAATGCAGAGCACAGACAGATACGGTGAGACTCACATCACACAGTAGTCAAGACAAATAGACCCCAGTGCTAGGAGGAAGTTGGCCTCAGGAAAAGAAGGCCCGGAAGGACAGTTGGTTTACGAAAACTTGTCCTTTTGGCAAATAAATGAACGACGTTTGCAAAGTCCCAAAAGATCCTGCTAGCCCCTCCCGAGAATTTAAGACCGGCTGGGCCAGTCTTTACTCACAATGTCATTAGGACGTTGAAGTCCACAACTATGCTGACTTCTGCAAAGCTCTTCCGTTCAGTTGCTGACAGAACTACTGGTGGCACCTGATTCTCCACCCTTTCCCCTTTCTCCTCTCCCCTCTCCCCTCTCCCCTCTCCCCCTTCTCCCCCACCCTGTGCCCTCCCTGACAATACTGACCACTAGAAAACTTTTCTGTTCGCTTGCACAAAAGGAGTAGCACGGTAGCACCTA